ACATCGGAACATCGGAACATCGGAACATCGGAACATCGGAACATCGGAACATCGGAACATCGGAACATCGGAACATCGGAACATCGGAACATCGGAACATCGGAACATCGGAACATCGGAAACATCGGAACATCGGAAACATCGGAAACATCGGAACATCGGAACATCGGACATCGGAACATCGGAACATCGGACATCGGAACATCGGAACATCGGAACATCGGAACATCGGAACATCGGAACATCGGAACATCGGAACATCGGATTATCGGAACATCGGATTATCGGAACATCGGATTATCGGAACATCGGATTATCGGAACATCGGATTATCGGAACATCGGATTATCGGAACATCGGATTGTCGTCCGGACTTTCGATTATCCGGACTTCCGACTATCCGGACTTCCGACTATCCGGACTTCCGACTGTCCGGACTTCCGACTATCCGGACTTCCGACTATCCGGACTTCCGACTGTCCGGACTTCCGACTGTCCGGACTTCCGACTGTCCGGACTTCCGACTATCCGGACTTTCGATTATCCGGACTTTCGATTATCCGGACTTTCGATTATCCGGACTTTCGATTATCCGGACTTTCGATTATCCGGACTTTCGATTATCCGGACTTTCGATTATCCGGACTTTCGATTATCCGGACTTTCGATTATCCGGACTTTCGATTATCGGACTTTCGATTATCCGGACTTTCGATTATCCGGACTTTCGATTATCCGGACTTTCGGTTATCCGGACTTTCGGTTATCCGGACTTTCGATTATCCGGACTTTCGATTATCCGGACTTTCGATTATCCGGACTTTCGATTATCCGGACTTTCGATTATCCGGACTTTCGATTATCCGGACTTTCGATTATCCGGACTTTCGATTATCCGGACTTTCGATTATCCGGACTTTCGATTATCCGGACTTTCGATTATCCGGACTTTCGATTATCCGGACTTTCGATTATCCGGACTTCCGATTATTCGGACTTCCGATTATCCGGACTTCCGATTATCCGGACTACCGATTATCCGGACTACCGATTATCCGGACTACCGATTATCCGGACTACCGATCATCCGGACTACCGATTATCCGGACTACCGATTATCCGGACTTCCGATTATCCGGACTTTCGATTATCCGGACTTCCGATTATCCGGACTTCCGATTATCCGGACGTCCAATTATCCGGACTACCGATTATCCGGACTACCGATCATCCCGTACTGCTTTAACTGCATAGAGACGAAATGTCAAAGCGCGTAAGCGCCGCGTCACCGTCTAACGGATAAACATTGGTACGGAACCCAAAGGAATGTAAACAAAATTCATACTTATTGTAAAAATCTCTATAAAATATCTGATAATTTGATGTGCATATGCCTAATGATCATTTTTGACCGCCAAATGTCATTTTTTTTTTTACTTTTTTCGTTAGATCTCCAAAACCGCTAGACCTGCCCTTATGAAAATTTGATCAATTCTTCATCTAGTCAATACAAGTAAACTGTTTTTTTAATTATTAAAATCGGACGCTCCGTTCTCTTAAAAATTGAGGTACCGTTTTTGGCACTTTTTGCCCCATATCTTCGGAACGGCTAGACCTGCCTCCGCCAAAAACTAATCAGCACGTCTCCTTATCAATACGAATCGAATGTTTTTCGAATTATTCAAATTGCTTTATCTGTGTTCTCGAAATCGTCGACGAAAATTTGTATCCGCACACATACACATACGCGCACACACACACACACACACACACATACATCCATTTTTTCTAAGGTATGCCAAAATAATTCAGAAACCTCTGAAACGTAAAGATATATAAAAATTTTCGTTTTCGATTTTTTTGCGATTACTATAACTTACCCTACGGGAAGTTAATTAGGTCTTTAATTAAAATATTATATTGTTATCATAAAATGGATTACTTAAGTAACATTAAAATCGCAAGTCACTTAATTGAAGTGAAGCTTTTGGTTTTTACAAAAATTCATTGCAATCCAATATGGATTTTTAACGTTGCGTATTTAAAACAAAGATTTCAACTTTGTTTTAATTGTAATTAAATTAATTAACACGTTTGAGGGATATTAAGAAATGTAATTTGCGGTAGTATAACTTCTTAAACATATTTTGATCATTTTCAATGCTTGCAAAAGTTATTCATAACTAGTGGTGTATGGAATCGTGCCTTAAGGCAAATTGCTGGAACTTCCACTACCGTAACGAAATGTTCGAGAAATAATAAATGTTTTAAAATAGATTATTATAAATATTGTAACATTGTCTAATATTTATGAGAATTACATAAACTGAATTGCAAAGTTGAAATTATTTGTTTACAGTATATTAGAACTATAATCAGAATTAAAATTAAAATCTGAATTATTTTCAATATACACAAAAAAAAATTTTTCTTTGAAAAAAAAAATTGAAAAAAAAAATTGAAACAAAAATTTTTTTTTCAAAAGAAATTATTTTGTTGAAACAAGCAGAAAGATTTTTGAATCATCAAATCAGACACTTAGTTCTCTCAAAAACTGCCATTTTTTGCACATTTAGCTCTGTATCTTTGAAATGGCTGCACCTGCCTTTGCCAAAAACTAATCACCCCTGCTCCCAATCATTACAAATTGAATGTTTTTTAAATCATTCAAATCGGATGCGTCGTTTCTCAAAAACTCGATTTGTATTTTCTGCACTCTTTGCTCCGTATCTCCGTAACGGCTAGACCTGCCTTTGTCCAAAACTAATCAGCACATCTTCCTATCAATAGAAATCGAATATTTGTGGAACCATTCAAATCGGTTGATCCGTGCGCCCAAAAACATGAACGAAAAAATGCGGACACACATATTCATTTTTTCAAAACGTCGAGAAATGCAAAAAATTTTATTTTCGATTTTCGGCGCATTATTAGTATAACTTACCCTACGGGAAGTTAATAATTATTTTAAAAAGAATAAATAAAATTACTTATCGTTAGCAACAAGCGTTTGATTTTCCTGCTACAATATAAAATAAAACTTTAATTGGTACAGGTAACTGTAACTTTATCATTTTAGTTTGTAACTAAGCCTGACCTTACAATATTAATCTTGTTTATGTATTTTAACATATATGCCGAAACATAAGTATAAATATTTTATTGCTCCAGCAGAAACAAATCATTATTTGTTTTTACGAGTCAATAAAAGAGTTATGTTTGTGATTCTCTAAAAGTCCAACAGTCTCATTTTCGAACAGTGATTGACAATATCGATTTTTATAACTATGATATGGGATGTATATATGCAAATGTGCAATCAATCAAAATATAATTGATGAACTAAAGTATGATCGTACAAATGCCATTATTTTGATGAATACAATTACTCAAATTTTATTATGGAAAACAGAGAAAAATCATATACTGGCAGATTTACAAGCACAAATATATATTTTTGTATGGTCAATTTGTTATTGCTACTTAATATTTTTTTATATTATAGCAAAACACACCGATTCAGCTATAGTAAAGTTTACCAAAGACTTAAAAATGTTTTAAAAAATTTGCAAAACATCAAACCATTTATTTATTAATAATGTATATATATATATATATATTATATATATATATATATATATATATATATATAACCTCGTGTCACGATGTTGGTTCGCAATAGACGCCCAAACAACTGAACCGATTTTAAATTTTATTGACTTATCGTGTGCATCGTATATCCAACCGAGGTTATAAGAAATTTTGAAAATTTAATTTAAAATATATATATATAATTTTTATAAATTAAAATAAATTTTAACAGATATTTACTAAAAAAAACGAAACACTAAAAGGTCAAATGGAAAATTCGAGAAAAAAAGATTTTTGATTTTTGAAAAAAAATATTTGACAGTTCAAAAAATATAGTTCAAAAAATATAGTTCAAAAACATGATATATACAACATTTATATCCAAATTAGATGAAATGCTATATTTAAA